TTAGTCTACCTGCCTAGTTCCACCTTCTGTGTTGCAAGGGTACTCAACATGCACCAGGCTTAATTATGTCCATACACTGCAAAATCACATTGTTCCAAGCTATGGATGTGACTCCTTAAGCTTCTTGGCCATGTGAGTGTGACACTGTACCTGGGTGTAAGTTAGCCCTATCTTTTAACTCAATAAATAGCTTTTGCAGTGTACTGGCATTGTAACTCAGAAGCTTGAAGCTTGTTCTTAGCTAACTCAAGGCTCTCCTCCTCCTTATGCTGCTTTTTGCAGTGTAGACAGACTTGTGGATCTTGCTGTTAACTCAGGAGAAAAGGTCAGACCGTTGTGGCCCAAGTGCTGTGCTTTTCAAGAGGAAAAGCTGCACGTACAGAAAAAACCTTATGTCGCTAAACCTAATCAATGGAGGGAAGACAGCAAAATCTCTGTCCCTAAGGCATTACCACCACCACCTTCCCCGGGGGAGACATGGTTTTCTGCCAGAACAAGTTCAATATGCTTTCACTAGCTTGTGGTTTGTTTGTACTGTAGAATTGTAAGCAGATGCTACGTGTTCTTAAGGGTTTGAACTGCCACCTTTTGTTCCAATTACAGAGCTCTGTTCAAAACACTGTGCTTTTTGTTTGTTTGTTTTAGGGGTGAGAAGAAAGTGCAGAAGGAAGTAGCTCTTCAAGGATACTAAGAATAGCTGTGGCAAAAAATTAATAATTCTGTGGTTCAGGCTGTTAAGCTATGTCATCCTGTGCTATTTGCAGCACACATGTATGTAAAGTGTAGTCATAATATGCTGCTGAGCAAATTCTTCTATTTAGCTTGTGTTTTCACTTGTGTGAGTTAAACACACTTGGGCACTAGGAAAATACTGAGGAATTTGGAAGCTCATATAATTACTGAATAAGTGTTAGTGTGTGACATTTTGTGGAGTTGCTTCAAATTGCCTGAACATGACCAGTGAACGTAGAGTCTTGCAGGCCAGCTCTGGAGCTTTCTCAAAATAATTATGTTGCACTAGTATCTAGCTAGTAGAGTTTATGGAGGAAAAAAAATGTGTAGTAGAAAAATGCTTATTTTTACTCTTTCTGCAAACATGCATACTGATTGTTTCTCTCCCTCTACCTGTTAAATAAATCCTACTGTAACTATGTTGCTGTGTGGGGTTTCTTTTTCTTTGGTAGCAGGGGAGGAGGGGGGCTACAGCAGTGGCCCCTGTGAGAAGCTTCTCGAAAGCTCCCTGGCTCCAAGCTGGCCCTGCCTTTGGCCAGGGCCAAGCCCATCAGCTGCACCTCTGCAATAACCTATTTACGAAGGGGAACCTGAGATGGGATGTGTGGGGAGGACACATGGCAATGCGGATGACTTGGGAGGAGGCAGGTGCATGCCCTCCTTGGGGGCGCGTCCAGGTCCTGCTCACTGGGGCTTGAAACCAGGCTCACTGGGCTGGTTCTGGGTCTGAGGAACAGTTCCCAAGTCCAGTGTGCAGCAGACTCAGACCTGGGCTTAGGGGCTGGTTTGGGGCTCATAGACTGTGAGTGAAGCCCGTGGGGTCTGGGGTCGGACACATGGAGGAGTTAAGGCAGTTACACACACTCAGGTCTGGACACAGACTAAGTCCTGTGTGTTTGGGCTCAAAACCAGGCTCGGAGCTTAGAAACAGAGCCTAAGTAAGAAAGGAAAAGTTCTGCGTTTTTCAGACTCAGAACTGGCAAAAGTGACTGGTTTGGGGTTCATAAACAGTGAGCGAAGCCCATGGGGTTTGGCATCAGGCACATGGAATCAACCCAGTTACACATATTTAAGTCTTGGAGATGGTGACCAAGTCCTGTGAGTTTGAGGCTCGAAACTAGGCTCATTTGGCCATTTTAGGGGTCTGGAACAGAGTTTAAGTCCTGCATTTTGCAGACTCAGAACTGGGCTCAGTGGCTGGTTTGGGGCTCAGGCACAGAGTTGAGACAGATACCCATGTTCAGGTCTGGAAACAGAGACTAAGTGCTGCATTTTGGGGGCTTGAAACCAGACTCACTTGGCCAGATGTAGGGCTCAGCAACAGACTCAGTCCTGTGTTTTACAGACACAGAACCAGGCTCATCAACAGTGAGTGAATCCCATGGGATGCAGGGTCAAGCACACAGAGTTGAGGCAGTTACCCATGTTCAAGTTTCAGAAACAGAGACTAAGTCCTGCATGGGTCTTTAAACCTGGCTCATTTGGCCACTTCTAGATCTTAAAACCAGAGTCTGAGTCCTGAGTTTTACAGACATGGAACAGGGGGCTCAGGCAGATGGAGCTGAGGCAGTTAACCATGTTCAAGTCTGGAAATGGAGACTAAGTGCTGCATTTGGGAGGCTTGAAACAGAGACCAAGTCCTGTGTGTTTGGGCTCAGAAACAGAGACTAAGTTGGTTCTGTGTATTTGAGGGCTCAATACAAAGCTCCTACAGCCAGTGTTAGAGCTGAGAAAGAGCCCAAGTGTGTGGAAGCAATCCAGTGCTCCTATCATGCAGAATACATGTTTGAACTTCATCTTGAAAGATTAGAGAAAAATCTCTTGTGCCTGGAGTGCAGCACAATGCCCTGGTGTGTGGGGGGTCAGGGCATCGCAGGACACAACCTCTGCCTTCTGCAACTGTTCTGTGATGATGCTGTGGTTATTCCCCTCTGTTGTGTCGAGGATGTAGCAATATGTTTATGTTCCATAGTACTCTGGAAGCAGAAAAAGTAGTGTCTTGGTAAACAGATCATGCCTGCTGATGAGGCATTCCTCCTTTTTTTTTTTTTTTTTTTTTTTTTTATATATGTGTGAAAGGCATGGCAAGTGCAGGTAAAAAGAATTAGAAAATCAGCATGGAATTGGAACACACTATGCTACTGGAAGAAATCTCCCTTTCATATTAAACAATAAAATTAAATCACTCTGCACTATGTGCATACTTCCTCACTAGCACGTTCACTTCCATAAAAAAAATTACAGATACTGCTTGTAAACCATCCAATAACATTTACTTTTATAAAGCACACATACTGAAAAGAACCAGGCCTGAAAACATTTCTGGTGCTGTGAAGACTCTTGAGCGAAGCATCTCACTTTAGCTAAATGGTATAAAGAAGAACCAGTATGACCCTTGTGGGCACTCCTGGATGTGAAAAAGGCTGCTGTCCCAAGCCTGCTCTAAGAAAATTGGGTTACAAAACAGGCAGAAAAGAAATTTCCTGTTGTCTCTGCCTTTTTGGACCCAGAAATCGCATTAGTTGTTGCTCTAGATGAGTACTTCTCCTCCCAAGGAACTGAGGGACTTGTGAGGGTGAGTGCATTGTTAACTTGATGCCAACTGGAGAAATACATTCTAATCAGCATTTCCTGAAGTAACAAAACAAATCTTTTACTTGTCGCCTTCTCCACCCCTTTCTGATGCTGTAGCTTGTTACACGTTCTTCCTCATCTCTTCTCATCTGTCTCCCTACAGCATTATTCTGTAGTTTGCCAGCTTGTAGTATGGAACTTCCCTAACTAGTTCTGGTGTTATCCTTTTTGAGGGACGAGTTGGCCAGAGCTACACCACTGGTGGGGTAAGATACCATGTTTTACTTTGCTTTTTCTGTTAAATTGGTTTTTGCTTGCTCTGAGAGAATGAGGGAAGCAAGGCCATAATACACCACCAATTTGCACAGAACTGGAAAGATGCTCAGAGCTCCTTTCCTGAGTCAGTAGCAGAGTAGCCCTGGATAGAGAAAGTGAGCTTCTTTTAAGCCCCCCGTGTATTCTGATAGTGAAGTTGTTCTGGTCCCTTGTACCCACTCTGTGCATGATCCTGATGTTCCTAACAGTACAGAGTAAAATAAGGTGTTTTCACTCAGAATACTAATTGTAAGGGGTTGCCTAATGGAGGTTGCACCCATGTACCAACCAGCTGCAAGACTGAGCCAGCATTCTCCCAAGGCACACACAACACACGTTCCCACTGCCCATCTAGGTCAACAGCCAGTACTGGCACAAACACCAACACCCTCATCCTATCCCTCTCTGGCTGATAAGGAGGAAGGTCTGTTAGTGGGAAAAAAAACAAGTACACACAAGCTGGGGCTCCCTCCAGTAACTGAACAAGGAGATTCAGTTCTGGATCACCCGTTTGTTCCAGTAACTAGCTCAGCCCACCCCTGCACACGCCCATTGCAGATGCCCTCAGTAGCTGGCCTCCACACACAAGTCTGTCCTGTAACTGGCCCTGGAAGCCTCTTTTCTTTCCAGTTACCTCCCACAGAGGCAGGCACATACAGATAAGTAGGTCTCAGTTGAACCTCAGACCCTCCATGTTAGCCTGGACCTCCTGGTCCTTCCAGTTGCCTCACGCAGAAATAGCTGCGCATCCAGCCCAGACTTAGAGCTGCTCCAGCACCTTACCCTACTTGGTGGCTAAATCTGGCTTGAATACACCAACGCATGACTTCACTCTGCAGTTGCCAGCACTTGCTTTCCACTTACTCCGGACTGCCGGCACTCCAAACACACGGGCCCTGTGGCCCAAGGTCCCACTCCAGTTGATGGCTCTTAGACTTCCACGTACGCGGGGTGGAGTCCCCTCTAGCAGGAAGAGGGTGAGCATGGAGTTACCAGACAAAATAGGACACAGCTAGACAAGAACACTTGCCAGCAACCTGTTTCCACAAATACAGCTTGGCCCCTCCCTTTTCCTACATTTGATCCCTCCCACAAAGAGGGGAGTATTGCATCAATGCTGCAACTCGGCCCAGTTCTCATGAACTCTCCCCCCTACGTACAACGTTTCAGTCCTCCACTAGAAGGACAGAGCCCAGAAAAAGCCTTCCAGCTTCACTGTCCACATTCTGGACAGAGTTCTGCTCTCACCCTTGCTGCAGGGCAAGCGGGGCATGGCACAGCCTCAAACCTGACTCTTCCCTTGCAAAGGCAAGCGTGGCCCTCCAAGCTCCCACAGTGACTAGTCATTTGACTAAGAGATTCATCACCAAAGCATTCGATTGTTTAAATAACAGTATTTAATCTGTACAGGTTGAGAGAAGGTATCATAAAATGCAACATTCCTACCTCATCTTCAGCATCATTCACCTAGAGCTGAGCCCTCATCTTCAGAGGGCACGTAACCACCACTCCCCACTAGTTCTTTATGGTACAAAAGTCACAGTGCAATTGCTTTAGTCCTAGACAGATGATATCCCTCAATCAAGAGAGGAGAGACTGATGAAGCTCGAACATTCATGGAAATTGTTACCATTTAGGAATGCAAAAAAAAAAAAAAAAAAAAAAAAAGCTATTGCACAGTTATTTTCCAGCTGAAACTACAGCAGTTATTTAGCTGCCTTTATATTCCACACATCTGAAAATGCCTTAGTTGATACTGATTTAGTCAAGAGTGAAAATAGAGCCAGTAACACTTCAGAATGATACAGTTGTTGGAGGGCAGAAGCTGACAAGCAACTCCACAAGTCAAGAAGCATGCTTTAGAATACCAGAAAGTTCTCCTATACAGGGAAGGGATATGAGCTAGACAGATGTCATCTTTCAGAGACAAGCATGAGAGGAACATTAGCTTCAATAGAAAGCTATGGAGTACAATAGACAATTTGTTCATATAATTGTCAGGATAAGTATTTGACATAGTCTACGTCGTTGAATACATACTTGAACATCTTTTAAAAATAAGCACGAATTTAATTTCATATATACACAACTGATTTTAATCATGTACTGAAAATAAATTACAGGAAATAACTTTAAAATGCAACAGAAGACAAGAGTTTCACAACAAACATTCCCATTGATTTTCCCAAGGGGGTGAGAGATTGCAGTGTTCAAGGCAGGTAAATATCACAAATATATCAAAAAACTTCAAATTGTCAATGCATTCACACATTTACATGAGCCACAAACATTCCTTTACAGGGACTGCACTTAGCTACCACAGAACCAGGTTTTGCCATAAACTACAAAACTTTGATACAAAATTGTATTTATATATTTATATTTCATATACATGCCCTATCTGTGATTTCTTAAAAAATAAGAACTAAACACACTGTACAGACAATCCTAACTCATTGCTTGGTAGCTGTAGGCAACATTTTTGGATGGAATTTCTCCCCCAGTAGAATTAATGGCAATATTATATACATGAAGGCTAAACTGCGGAAAAAAGACAGCTCAGTTCTGATATGCACCTCCCTCAGGACCAGGTCTGCACGTTCAAGGCAAGACACCATCTGCTCTGACCCACTGCCTCCCTTACAAGTCAGTTCTGCTGTCAGTGGTGTGAGGAACCAATACATGCATTTGTGTAACACTGGTATAAAAGGCAATAAAGCAAGATACATATCGTAATGTAGTGGCTCTAATGGCTTCATCAAGTTGATACACCTGACACACAGAAACACTTGTTCGAGGGGGCAAGAGGATGGTGTAGAGCTGGGTACATTTGGTAAGAGCACGCCTGATGTGGGTCTGATCAATAAACTTCCCTGAAATTATCTCCTGCAGAGGACAGATTCCCACTGTAAGCCAGAGACTGCATTGCCTCAAACCCTGGGGGAGGATCCCTCTCCCCACTCCCACCCCACCAAATGCACACATGCACAGTGCAACAGGACTAGATGTAAAATGGACACGTGCACCCCCACCCCCAGCAGTCTCCATGGCACCAGGTTTTCTTAAAAGCAGAGCACTGACAAACTAACTCTTCCCAGGTGATGGCAGCAATCTGTGAAGCCAGTCACACTAAACTACTTCTACAGTTGATTGTAAACTTTGGTTTTTGTTTGTTTATTTATTTATCTATCATTGAGTTCTCGTGGTACAGCAAGCATGTCTAGGATGAGAGGGTAGAGTTGAAGAGGAGATGAACTGTCAGTCTGTCTTTAGTCTGGCATGGTGAGACACCTGCTCGGTCAGGCCTGCTTTGATAGAGTTTTTTACAGACTGCCTCATATGATCCTCCATCAAATTATCACTCATGGGCTTCAACACCTGTGGAATGAGAAATGTGCAAAAGAAACAAAAAGATGAGGTAACCAAGGAAAATAATATAAAAACATACAAAGAGATGAGACTTGAAATAATGAAAAAACTTAGAATGCTGAAGTCTGACACAAACTGGCATGAACTGAAAGAGAAATGAGTTTTGCTGCTACAGTAATGAGGTTAAATCAGTGACATGCTATGGACACAAGTGATATCCCTCCTATACAGCAGTATTTCACTCAGTTTAAACCACTTTACAGTTCCTAGAAGATGGATGTGCAATTTCATACCCTATATGCAGCATCAGTCTGGTATGGTTACAGCATTTATGCAGACCGGCCCAGACGGTCCAGCTTATTGTCCTATATGTGTAAGTGTGAACACTTCAGATACAGAAAGAAAGTTAAAAATACTGGCTAGTTTTTCTTCTTGTTATTGTTGGATGAGAGTCGCTGTCGCGGCACTGATGTAAGAGCACGGCGAATCGTTTGGCGTCTAAGGACTTCAAAGAGTTTGGAAAACACCTAGAACACGAATTCAGCTGTTAGGAAAAGTGGCTCTTAGGAGGCAGCAGAAAAAGTCAATCAAGTTCAGAAAAAGAAACTGATTGCCAGTAGCTTCTCACCTTCCTGGGATTCCTCTGAAGCAAGGAAGGAAAAGAAAGGCAGAGATTCAGCAAAGTCAATAACAAGAACATGGTATATAATCAGAGTGACTCAGACAGGGCTTGTAGGTGCTTGCACATTACTGGTGATGTGCAACTGTACCACCACCACCACCAGCACGCTCTTTTGGAGACCACCTTCCTCTAGCCCACAAAAGGCAAGCTCCTGCTGGCATAAGCCAAGTTCTCTCCCTTCCAGGGAAGGTCAGCAGTCAAATCAAGCCTTGTGCGCTCCAGGTATCCTACAGCAGCAGCTGCGCTCAGCAAGTACTACACATAGAACTGACACCTTCAACTTTTCTGGCAGTGGTCTTCATCCCCAGGCTCCAAAGCAAGAAGCTATGGTGGTACAGGAGAGCCTCAATTTTAATCACTAGTTAGGGGCGTACCTCAAAATTCAGTACCCTAATGCTCACTTCCCTCCTATTATTAGAAATCCATTTTTTCCGATCCAGCATTACTCATAACCTTACCTGGTTGCTCAGACCGGTCTAACGTACCACTGCAAGTGATGAGCCTTGAGCAAAGTCACTTTTCAGATGCAGAAGACATGTGTAGGCTGTATAGAAGGCTCCAGTTATTTCCTCAAGCCTTGCAGGACCCATTTTAATGTCATCCCAGGTAAGTTCAGCGAGCCCTTTATTTCTAGCAACACCACCACCCAAGTGTTTCCCTTCTGCTGGCACTGGACATAGCTACTCAGAACGCTCTAAACACTACTTGTAAAAATTGGTCAGGGATTCTCTAAATTTTCTTTACTGGCACAGCTGTGTTGACTGGATTCAGGCAGCAAAACCTCTGTACAGAAGGCTGTGGTACTCTTACACTCATGTCTTTTCTTTCAGGAATTTGTATGTCAAGTATTTCTTGCAACAGCAGTCACACCAACTGAAGTTGTCACAGACAACGCCACTCTTCCTGAAGGAAGAAACCTGCTGTGCATCCTCTTTCAGCAGTTGCTGCAAGTCATCAGCCATCTCTCTCAGAGGTATAATGAGCCCTTCAGTGTCACACCCTCAGGTGAGGTGAGGGAGGGCAGCAGTGTTTCACCTTTCCCATTTCTTGCACCACCCGAGATATTTTAGCCACAGCATCTTTAGGGCAAGTTTATCACTTTTAAACACACCTTTAAAAGCAGAATGCCTTGCTCTGAAACAGTTACAAGATTTTTAAAAGAGTCCCTCCACTCCTTACAGTATGAGCACCTAGTAAGGCCTTTAAGTAACACTTTGATAATATCCTAAGCTTGTTTAACATTCTTCATGTGCAGCATCTCTTACTGAAGAGAGCAGTCACGCTTTTGAGCCCATTTTGGCAGCACCAGCATTCTCCATTAGGTCTAGACCAGCTTCTGCTCACAGCACTGAACAGACACTGTTTGATAGGTCTACTCAAGAAAGGAAGATTTTTGCATTAAAAACAGATACCAACCTGTTCCCATATAGCTTCAGCGATCTGATCAATGGCTGTTCCAACTTCTCTAAATTCCCCAGAGTACTTAACGTATGCCCAAGTACAAAACGATATAAGAGCCATCCCCAACACAAGATTACACAGGGTAGCTATGGAGTTCATGCCAAGAAACCCAGTCAGTCCTGAGGTTATATACATGGCAAACATGACTGCAAATAGAGTGGCAGGGGTACGAGCAGCATAAAAGATGTTTTTGCCATCGTTGTGCTTCACAAAATTTGCATAGATCTCATCAATTTCCACTTCCAGCTGTTCCTGGTAGCGCCGACAGAACTCCTCCCCTCCCATCTTCTTCACCGCACGGAACTGCCTGACAGCTGATTCTCTGTAATCCTGGTGCTTCCGCTCGAGGTCCGATGGGGCAAGGTAAGGCTTATCTCCCCCACAAACCTGTTAGAGCAATCAGAGATGAGGTCATCACACCCTGAGTATATTCTACTGTACAGAAAGCAAACGTGCTCCTCACTGTCCCCCTCTCAATCCAGCATCAGACTACTTGCTGCAGCTTTCTTGGCTCTTTCTCGGCAGAGTCCTGTCTCAAGTGAAGCAGAAAAAGGTCCTCTGCATCATGATACAGGAAGAGCCTTATCTGTCTGAGCAGAGTTATAGCACATGACTGAACTCATACTTTCAACTGTTCCCTTTGGGCAAGCCCAGGAGGACAGGGCATCAGCCACGTGTACATTTCTGTTATGAAAAGGTGAAATAAAGGAACACCAGGAGGCAGAGAAAGCTTGGCTTGAGGAAGATTAAGGAGAACTCTGAAGGCCACAAGCCCTCCCATCAGCTTTTTACTCCTGGTCACCCATATCAGTGAGAGGATCAGTGCAGAATTTGGAGAAACAGGGTAGATTTTACCCACTCAACAAGCTTATTGCAGTTTACTGCTGCCACTAGCAGGCTCCATGGAACTTATCAGTGATATGAATTGACAAGAATTAGCTGCTGACGTCTATCATTAGCCTATTCTTCTCTAGACTGTTCTCTAGGCTCGAATCTGATCAACTTGTAAGAGTACGTTTTTGCTGATGAGACCATGGACTCAAATGGATAGCAGTGACGTGCACACCACCATCTTCCTCTCCCTGGATCAGCATGGCTATGAAAATGGTTAAGCTCCAAGGACTTCTACTCCGTAAGACCAATTTCTGACCTCCTGAGGACTATGACTAAAGATTACCTAGGCCAGAGACATACATATGGCAGATCAGCTCCAACTCCTCCAGACCCTCACAGTCAGGCTATGTCTAAAAACTGAATATTCTTTCCATATGATGTCAAAAAACAGCCTCCCCTCTCCTACCTCAAGGTAGCCTTATCGCAGTGCTTGTCAGCTTATGCCTTCAGTGCAGCAACAACTGTCTTTCTCCCACTGCTATCCCTTCAGCAGGACACACAGAAGATCACTCTCTCAGAGTACAGCATCCCCTTTCTGTCTCACAAGATGCATGGCTTCACTGGCTAGCTTCAAGACAAACCTCACTGTCTAGATCCTGACACCCCCATTCTGCCCCCTGCTCAAGTTTAACAAGCACCTTTCTGCTTTTTCCACACTGAAGTTCTCAACAATTGGCAAAGCTCCCTGGAAAATGGCCACTAGTCTCATCCTCCAAAATGTTTTTTTTTTTTTTTCCACATTGCCCAGAGAGTGTTAAACACTAGGAGGTGCTGATGCACTGAGGCTACCCCACAAATCACTGCCACTGTTTTCTTACACTCTGTTTCACTGCACCTGTTGCTCCTTGCATTTAAGGTCATTAGAGGGACAGTATTTTGTTTATGCACACTCAGCAAAGGAGGGCTTCGGTTCATGAGGAGAACTCAGAAGCTACAGTTAGAATTATCTTTACATAAGCCAGCCTTAAATCCAAAACTTCTGATCATAAAAAACAGAAACTTGAGAGCCATGTCACATGAAGAACATCATCTGAGACATCTGGATAAAAAACGATTCAAGACGTTTGTGTGTATCTCTACAGTGATATAAAAATATACAGTACTGGGGAACATTACTATGGAAACAAAGTCTGTTTAAGAGAACATCTGTTTCTGTTTATTCCTTGCCCTAAATAACAAACCTTACAACTACAGTATCTCAACAGCCATTGAAGATTCAAGGTAGGAAGGCAGACTTGGCATTTATTAAAAACCCACCTATTTTCTATTTCAAGAGATTTTCCGAAATGGAAACAAATGAAGGAGTCCCTCTATACCAGCAGAGCATTCTCAGAACAGCCTGCTCACAACTGCAACCGGCTAGTCTGCCACTAGCATTAGGTCTTACCCTAATTTCAAAATGGGAAGCTACTTCAGCAATTAAGACCAGAGTTAGCCTAGTTAATGGGGAGCTATGTTTGTAGCATGTTATTACACCTAGTGGTCTTTTCTGGTTGTAGAATTTCACAATAAGCATAGTCCTGTTAAATTTTATGAGACACATAATCGTTTTCAGAATTCCCTATGATAAAAGCCTACATAACACTGTGCTGAAGTACGAAGTACATTCAGCTTGGAGTGGTGTAAGTCACTGTCTTCAAGAGAAGAAGCAAGTAGGAAGTTACAGATTCAGCTTTTTCAGACAAGATAATACTTGTATGTCAAGGTTTTTTTTTTAAAAAAACCTTTAGATTAATTTGAATGCTTGCATTTTACAGCTAATGAATGACCACAATTCAGAGGCATGAAACTATAATACTAGAACTCTACCCTTGCGTGACCCTGGTCCACCAAATGTCTCCTCACCTGTTTGTCCACTTCATGTTACAGGATTTTAAGATGTCTGTCAAGAGCAGCAGGGGGAACTAACAGGTGGTATCTTACAAACACACCCATTCCCATACCTCCCCAGCAACTCCTGTCGCAAAGAATCCTGGTTTTGCTGTGTCAGACACCTAACCTCAGAGCAGAGTGTAGAAAACACACAAGTACTGGCCCTAAGATACTTTTCTCCATTAACATGCTCATAAACAACACTGAGAACGTTAAAACTGAAGGCCTGTATTTGCACGTAGGCAGTTAGAGAAAACTGTATCATCATACCTGCTCCATGCCTTTACTGTACAAGTCTTTTGCTCCTGCCACAGCAGCAAGATTGTTCGCCTCAGCTGTTGCCTAGAAAACATTGAGCACCATGTATCATCACAGCATTACCAGCAAGTTACATACAAGTAGTTACACTGCCCAACATACCCCCACAACCTCCAAAGCTTCAGATGGCCAGAAAAATGCCCCACCAAAAACAAGTGAAGGTTGGCAATATACATTAAAACAGATTACTGACTAGGAGAACGTTTTCCTCAGCTTTCTAGTACAGCTGCAAAAAACTCCCATGTGCTTTTCATCATTAGCAATCCCTTCTGGATGCTCTATTGTTAATAAGCAAATAAGGATCACTAAACTATTAAATGTTAATCCTGATACATCACTGCCTGTGAGGAAAGCAGCAGGCTGCTATTTTCTGCATTATGCATGTGCAGTTTCAGTGTCAGATTTTGTAAGAATTTAAGACTATTTGCAACCTGTGTCATGTCAGGGGCAGTTATTCTACCTAACGCTGCAAGATGTCCTCTTCTGCATCTCAGTCACATCTATGGCATGCCAAGTAGAAGAAACGAGAGCAGCCTTTGTTTCATTGGGATGAGTTTTCTGAACTCCCCCAAAAGTCTAAAGATTTGGTTCCTTAAAGAATGAGAAAACCACCCAGAACAGTCATGTCTTAATGAAGTGACACAGGAAGCTTAAAAAAGTCTTACAAACACAAAATGGTTAAAACTAACCCTAAACCCCACCCTTTGGTGAAAGCTCTTCACCCCAAACAATTAAAGGGTTCAACACACAAGCTTTATACAATAAGTTTGTGTTCAGATCGCTTTAAAGCTGATTGCATCCTCTTTGGATCAACCCAGAAAAGAAACCCCAATGCAGTTATCCAATCCAACAAACCCACACGGAGTAGCCCAGCACTGCAAGACAGTGACAATTGCTGCGTTACTATAAGCCTTCTCTATTTTATCTGCTGCATCTGATGCTAAAAGCCCTCTGAATGCAGTCTGAAAGGTACTGACAAAATAGCAAATTACGGGAAACACATGTGTAGAAATTGAAGCAGCTAAACAAACCCTATCAACCAGATATACCCCTGCTCCATTCGGTAGATGGAACTGAGGGAAGACACAAACGTGTACCCAGGCTACTCAGTTCAGACAGCTTTCAAAGTACCTAGCTCCTTCAAGAACTCCAGCGATGTGTGTGGGAGCTTCAGACCCACAGCAGTCATCTTCAGTTGCAAAGAACTTAAAGTACACATCATCTATCAGATTATTTGAAAGAAAAATAAAATACCTGCAGCATAGATTTCGGATGAGGTAGCTCCTCTCCTTGATAGATTTTAATATAAGCCTAAATGGGAGAAAGAAAAAAGGGTTTCTTTTTCCTAAACATTTATGGTTGAGGAGAAGGAGAAAAGAGGGATGATATAGAGCTCTGACTACTTCTTTGTAATAATGCTAAATACTCAAGTAAGCACATTTCTCCATACAAGTCTGGCATTCTCACACTTATCCCTAGTGCTTTAATCCCTTTACCTTCCTGTGCCTTCGAGGCTAGGGCCTAGCAGGTTAGCAGAGCACCCTGAAGAGACATGGCCACTATCTCAAGAAGTAACCAACTTGACAGCAGGTTTCTGCTCCCTCAAATACGTAAGGTCTTTGCTAGGCAGAAAATCTTCATCAAAATAAAAGACTGAAGATGCCTCCCTCGCAAAACTTTTCTGGCAAGAGGTCTGTCCAAACACACCCCAGTGCTGGGAGAACCAGTACTTACATTTCCCCATACGCCTTTCTCCCTTGAAGTGTGGGAGGAAAAAAGCAGATCAAAGCACTAACACAGGCAGAGCTGAGCTGCCAAAATATTTCTGGAAGCCAATCAGGCATCCTATCCCTCTGTGCCCCACCCCACCAATCCCCAGGTGTCCGTTCCTTCACCAGGGTTTCAGAAGGCAAGAAGAGAACACATCCTTCATGTCATTTTCTCCAGTCCACAAGATGACCTGTAGCACAGCTCTTTAGGACAGACTAGTGGAGGGGACATGGCAGGCAGCAGTAGTCATTTTAGTGCTTTGGACAAGCTGTGCAAGGTAGACCAACAAAGCTACTCTCAGCCCCTCGGAGGCTGGGCAGTTATTCCTGTTCATGTTCCTGCTGCTCTCCCTCCCAGCTTGTCTACAAGCCTCTGCCCTGAGGATTTTTCTCTGTAAAGGAGGAGAGAACAAGGTTATCAGGGTCCCTATATAGCCAATGCTCTAGGGTGTAGGACAACCTACAAAAATGTATAGTTATACAGGACTCTGTTCCCTTGACACCCTCCTTGCTTCTGTAGCTATTTCCTCCAAGTAAAAGCCCTCCAGTTTCCAACTCGGACTTCACGATCTCAGCTTTAGATGCACAGCCCCAAGGGAGCAGTCCTCTTTAGTTACATAACCACGGTGTTTCCACAGCACCCTGCATGACTGCTCCCAGACTGGATACAGGACGTGAATCACAGCTTTGCAATAGAGGAGGTTCTACACTCAGTTTTTAGGGTACAGTTCTTCCTAAACTGCTGCTGAATGCACACTCCCTACACTGTATAGGATCAGGTCCTACTAGAGAAGAAAGTGGAACAAAAAGTAGCATGCAACCATGTAAATACAGACTGAACATACGAGATCCAGAGTGTTGATTTTATGCTTGTCAGGAACAGACATGAGTTCTGCATCCCATATCATGTCTTCCCTTTATAAAAAGTTACTTCATTTTATCAATGTTAAAGAGTTCTGGTCTCACTTTCCTCCCTTGCACATCTTCTTAACATCAGCCCAACTCTGTTCTACCTTTAACATGCATGCTCAAAAGTAGTAACACAAAATTAATGTCCTTAGGAATGAGTGCCACTCTCTCCTATCAAGCCAACTGTCTAAGTCATTCCAATTCAAAAAAAGGTTTCACACACCAGATCAGTTCCTGGTGTTGTACAGATTATGTTATCCCATTTCTGCTGGTGTCACCATGATACCAAAACAGCTCAAGAGTAACAGCTGCAAGCATCATACACAAATATTTCAGTGGTGCTGTACATGCAAGTGTTTAGAAAGCATCCTCCTTGCACGTTAAAAATCCACAGGGGAATTGCTTAAATTTTCACAGCATACCTAGAAAAACAGCTCTTAAACTACTGCTATCTGTACAATCTACACAAGACCTTCCTTTTTTTTTTTTTTTTTTAAAAAAAAAAGAGGGGGCAACATATCCAGACAAACTATGATTTCAAAGTAGAAAAAAAAAATATGTCTAATACAGTTTGAAGTATTTCAGCCTCTTTACAAAGGGGAAAAAAAAAAAAAAAACAAAACCCACCACCACAATTTTGCCAACTGTAGCTTACTAAGAGCTATACTGTAGGAAGTTGTGTGCCAGTTCTGGAAAGTCAGAGTAATGAAATTAAAAAAGTGAACTGATCAGTAAGTGTCAGCCTAGATATCTTCCTGGGAACAATATGCCCTAAAATTAGAATACTTTATTTTAAGCCATTAACAGAAATAATTAGTATGAGCTTGCTTACCTTGAAGTATTCTACAAGATCTCTACAGGTCACCTTGGATCCACTAATCTCTTTTTCTACCAAGTTTTCAGGGGCAAGCAGTAATGGCACTAGATTCCGCAGTTCATTCTTAAAATCTTCATCTATATCTAGTAAAATTCAATCAATTTCAGAAAAAAAAAAAAAGGTTAGTTTTCAATCTTGCATTTCCTAAAATAAGACCGATAACCCATGACCCTTCAAAATGCACAGCGTCACAACTCTTGACTGCATTTTTAAGATATTTAAAGGCTTAAATACATAGTATAGCTCTAGTAAGTTCTACCTATTTGTTAATCCTAACTTTAACTGAGAGAACAAGGTTCCACAGTCCTTTTAATATTTAAAGTGCATTTCCCCAATTACACCAACATCTTACACAGCAATCCCACAGGTCTGTGCCCTCAGCACAGAAGTGGTTGGCATCCCACTATTGCAAACCCACTTTTTAAGCCTTTGTCATTCTCATACATGCCCTCTCTCGGGGGACAAGCAGCAACTGGAAGAATCCCGACTGCCTCTCATTCTGCAGTGGCAGAAGCCTACAGCTTTTATTTTAAAGTCATTCTAGTTCTAACCTTTGGTTTAGCAAGTTCTTGGAGAAAAGCCTTTCGATTTTAAGAAAGTCAAGTCTTTAATTTTGTGAATTGTCCCGTCTGGAATCTTTATTTATCTGTAGAATCTTTATTTAATGACCTTTAAGCATATATCAAGTTATCAGATTACAATCAACAGCTAGACACAATGATATCCATTCCCTCTGCCTGCTTAACTCCTCTACCATTAAACCACCGAAAAGAACACACAATGCACATTTCTAGATTCCACAGCTTCACCTTTTAACCCTGTATTTTTCCAGTCAAGCATTTCAATAGGCAATCATTTCAGTGTTTAACTTCCATTATAAATAACAATAAACTCAGTGATCTGAATCAAGAAACACACAATCAAAAGCTTCCTACCATTCAACCTCCCATCAAAATTTGGATTTGTTGCAACTTTAAGACCAGGGTGGGGCAACAGGAAACAGCCAAGATTACTGAAACAGGAGTGAATATGCTTCCTTACATTCTGTAGCTCTTCATGTTGGTTTTGCTTTACCTGAAGAAAAAAAAAAAAAAGGCAGTAAGAACTGCTAATAGTTTTTCAGTACTACAATTAAGATTAAATATCAGCTTAAAAGCAGTAAGAGTACAAAAGCATGTTTAAATTTTCTTTCATTAACCTAAAACGGTCAAGTTCTAAACCCTAGAACTCTGCACACAAGGGGGAACATTGCAAATGTATTTTATTAGCACAAAGAGTTAGCTCATCTTGCATCATTACCTTGACAGGAAATTGTCACTTAAGTTAGACCACCACACTGGGACTACTGGAGACACCTTACCTGCAATCTTTTCTCTAGGAACTTTTTTCCTCCTTCCAAGCCATATGCATGTTCATAAGGATAACTCCAGTCTCTAATTAAGAACATTAGTGTCTGTAACAGGAAGAACAGCAGCAGTAAACAGCTTGCATCATTCCAAAGGTCAAAAACTCTATCACACACGTGATTATTTTAATTAAAAAAAATTCTAAGCTTGGCTGCTCTAAATGAAGTAGCCTTGTAGTTTTGTGGTGCAAGTGTTTCCTTATTAACAAAAAAAAAAAGTAACAATAAAACCCACCAAAAAAGAACAAACACCAAACCCACACACCAAACCCACAAATGCAACTCGTTCCTTAACTGAAAGGAAGTACCCAAGCGTCTCAGAAAGACAGCTTCCCTGCCCCGTGGGCTATCCCACAGGGATTAAACTGTCCTCTCTCTCATCAGCTGAAGATAGAAAACAAGCCTTGACATTACTCTTATATCAGACTGGGCCAATCACAAGAACATCAGGGACTCACACTTGCAGGCTGAATATTCTAGAGACCTAAGTCTTAAAACTCACCACTAACAGCAGTTGAGTAGTACCCATACAGGTTAAAGAGGATACTTCAGGATGGAAGATGCCTCTGTCTCCACTAAACAAAAGCAGCCTCAAACCCTTCTCTGGCCTAGCAAACAGTCAGGAGATGCTATCGACTTCAGAGACTTAATGCTGAAGCTAATAAGGCTTCAAAGTAAATGAAATGCAACATGGCCCTCCTCAGTGCCATTTCTTAGAGGCCACATGACCTTTACACAGAACCATGTACCACCAGCAAAGACCAACCATAACTCAAGGAGTAGTAAGTAAGACAGCAGCATGAAACTTTTCTCCTTAACATCTGCACATCACTTGACACTAATTCCTTTTATGCCTTGTAACTCAGGTACAAAGCTATACTTGCCCCAGATGTGATCCTCTTCAGCATTTTTCCACTGTGTTTTTACCAAGAAATGTGACAGGGAAGAAAAATCAGTCTTGTAAAGAACAGGCAAGCTTCAGCCCAACTAATTTATCTTCATAAGTTACCCTGAGTTCATTTTCTACACATTCAATTGCTTAAGACCCATTTAACATATTTACCTGAAATGGCTTTTGGTAAATTTCTTCCATAGCTAGTCTTCCATATTCTGTAAACAACTGATAGAAAGAAAAGTGTAAGGGTACCACATACAAAACACATTTTCTACTGTAAATTGTGCTATTATGTCACTAGAAAATATGGCATTTGATCTTAAATCCTATTATGGGTTGAGAATGGTCAATACTCCTCACGAACAAGTACACCAACCCTCAGTAAACTTCAGGAAGGAGACGTGATTTCCACGGGTTTTACAGTGCCATTCCGTACCTGTCAACACACTGCAGCTCTAAGTGGGTGGCCTGTGGGCTATTCTCAGGGGAAAGCTGGCTGCATTTCTCAGCAAGCCAGTTCCCAAACGCTGTTTCTTAGGCCAAAGAGGTACACCTGTCTGATGTCTGCGCCTTACTTCCCATGAAAGATTTATTCCTCGAAATCTCAAGGAACTTGGTTAGAGCCAATGTATCAGACATATAAATACAAGCCAACATCAGCAGCTTCCCAGATCTCTACTTCAGCTCATGACCTTAACTGATAATTGTTCTTTCCTTCCACTATGAAGGTAAGTGTCAGCTGTCATCTTCTTGTTGCTATGACCACCTTTAATAGCAGCAGCAGCATTCTTCACTGGACTGAGCGGGCCAGACAACCCACAAGAACAGGAATTATGGATTGTGCTGGCTGCTTCAGCAGAGGTCGATACTGTCAGGTGTTGATCCACGCCAGCCCCCTTACTGATCTTGGAGGTCAACATGCAGTAAGCACATCAGTATCCTCTAGTACGAGGCAACTGTTGTTCTGGATTAAAACTAACTCCTGGAACATCTCAGATAAATTACATGGCTAAAAGGACAGTTCTCCCTGTGCTGATCACAAGAGCATCTGAGAACTTACAATTTAACACAAATTAACTTCCAAGCCTGTGTCTCCCTGAGCAAAAGAAGTTCTGAAGTGGCCAAGAACCCACATGAGATTGGCTTCTTTGTTCCTAACTCCCTACCCCATTCACTTCCCTGCTACATGGAAAAGGCAGCCATAGACTAGCAGTATTTCAGAGTAACAGAAATCCCTGTTATAACAGAATTTCCTTCCCTCAAGCCATGATTCCTTGCCCCAACTTTAAACGCATGTCCCCTAGCCACTGCTTATATTTATCACCCTTCTCTCAAACCCCACCCTGCAGTATAAGAGAAAGGGATTACTGTATTCAGATTGCACTGAGACTGTCAAAGGCCCAAAGTCATGAGGAAAGCCTGGCTTTCAAATAACTAGCTTAAGCTTTTGTTTGCAGTGCTTGGTTGGGTTTTTTTTGGGGGGTGGGGGGCTGTTGGCCTGGTAATACAAGTCCGTTAACTGAGAACTGCATCATAAGACTTGTATTTAGTTAGCGCTCTTCTACTTCCAACATTGGCAGCCAGTCTTTTGCAGCACTGACCAAGACAGAAGTCCTTTCAATCAGAAGACACATAGAACAGCTTTAAGCTGTGAGAAGGTCATGACCTAAGCACAGGCAGGCATTTGTTAATACACAAGCTAGCCTTTAAAGTTACAGGTTTTAAGTTAAGGAGATAAGGTTCTTGCACCATTCACATGAAGCCAGAATTCAGTGGCCTCTGACCACAATGGTCCCTTAGAGGATGAAAATTGCACAGTACAGAAAGAGGACAACAACAACTGCTTTTGTTTCTAAACAGCAATAAAACTCTGCAGAAGTTTCTCCGTTGAAAAACTAGAGAAGGCTTCTGGGTTGAAAATACTCTTTCTGCCCTGACCCAAGCTCCCACACTTCTTTAGAAACTGGTTATGAAATACCATCTATTTTCCTATTCTAGGGAAAAAGTAAACACTGGAATTTTCTCATCAAGTATTTCCATAAATCCTTTCCTTTCTAATCCTTTTGGGAATTTCAGAAGTTCCCACATAGAGAACAGACTTTAGAAAGATAAGATTTAGGCAGATTAGAAGCCTGTACTATTTTATCTCTGCACCGGCACAGCAGAAGTATCACAGCATCACGGAGTTGATGCAAATAATGTCATAGGCAGTACTAGTTCTAACAGCAGGTCAGCTTCAGTGTTTTATATGAAGTAGCAGGCAGCTCCGAAACCACAGTTACATTAGTAGTAACTTCGAGAACAATGTCAAGATCATATCAGTTCAGAAGCAGCTTAATAAAAATTCAGCATATTCTTACCTGCAAATGTTGAAGGTCATCTTCCTGAATATTCTGGGACAAGTTGTATACCTGCAAGAGACAGTCAAATAATTACAGCACAATATAAAACCTTTATCTTACATTCATGTAGTCTCTTTTAGGTATCTTGGATATTTTTATCCCCTCAGAAAAGTCTAACTATCCGAAAGTCAGCAACTAGAAAGGTGTCACAGAACGCATCTCAAACAAAAGTCACTTCCTTATACAAAGTTCTAGGGACAAACCACAGCTGACTACCCTAATCCTTCTTAGAACAGCTTCTTTTGAAGGAAGCAAGCCATTAAGGAATCAGAAGATTGCTAAATATTTCAAATCACCACACAGGTGTGAGACAGGAGGATTGAGAAGGGCACATCTGTTTTCCATCCTCAAGTCCAAGTGCTCTAGGATTCAGCGATCCAGCAGCTGCACCTCCAACACACACAGCTGGAAACGACTGAGTTTTTCGCTTTCAAATCTTACCAGAGAAATCTGATTTTATCCAGGGAGCTTGTGACTGTTTCCCATAGCACACCAAACAGCAATAAACTCAAAAATGAATCAATAACCCACAACTTATCTTAAGCACAGCAACAAAACAAACCAAACAAAAAAAGCTGAACAAACAAAAAACCCACCAAAACTAACCCCACAGGGCAGAAGTGGTGTTCTACATACTCCTGCTACTTTCATGTTGTAACATGTCTGAAGGTCACCTGTCATCCCTCAAAAACCTCCTCACTGTTGGCATGTTTAAGGCACAAGCTTAAAAGTAGTTTGGGGCATAGTACAAGAGAATTGTCAGAAGTTTGACAGTAGCCACAACTGTAAGTTTAGCTGATCACAGTGTAATTTCACCCCAAACTGTATCTAAAATCTTAAAAAAGATTCTGTAACACATCTGTACAGAAGTGGTTGCTTGCTTTGGCATCTTTTTTTTGCCATTCCCCAGTTCAGTCAGCTTGGTTTTGGATAAGCTTGATTCCACAGAGAAACTTATGTAGTATACTACACTGAAAATAAGACATTAAGTATGAAAGCTTAAATGATAGTTGGAGGAAGATACACAGGTGAACTTTCAAAGTGTAGCTAGAGAGATATTCTTTGCATGTTCAGGATAGAGGATTCCTATAGCTGCCATTATTTGCCAACACAGGTATTCTCACCTGAACAGAACTCGTCATGGTGCTCAGCGCAAAAACCGTTGCACAGTCTTTGATAGTGGATTGGCTATCAAAGGCGCCTTGGGTATCCATAAGTAGTACAGCAACCTAGAGAGTTTTAAAGAGCAGATACAGTTAACCAAGTTGCTAACATTTTCAGACTCCAGGACATTGGGATAAATTCCATTTCAAGTAGAGCAAGTCTCTGCCTATACCTAATTATTAAAGGTCAGTCAGCTCCCTGCACATATACACACCTACACGTATAGGCTCCATGCCTATACACACCTACAGCTGAGTAAGCAGCAACTAGAGGGTCACGTCATCACCCATAAGTCCTTGGCCTTGTTACACTAGTTACCCTCTCCCACAGAAACAGCCTCCCTCAGCCCACTGCGGGTACAGACAGCTCTTATTTTATTCACTGGAAGAAGTTCAGTCTCAGCTGACAATCCAGTACAGTTCATTAGAGCCAAGAGTGAGATGGTTACTTTAAAAAATGTATCTATCTTAAAATAATCATTTTCAGAAGAAAACAAGATAATTCATACTGACTGTCTGAAGGAATGACAAGGAATTAAGTGATCTTAATGATAAAAGTTAACCTGTCCAATTCCCATCTTTGGGATCTACTACAATTCCCTTCTCTTTCAGTCAGCGATGAAGCAGTAACAAGTGATTTGTCCCAGAGCATAAACAGATCCTCACAACTTAACTGTTTCTTAGCCAGAGAACTGTTTTTTGTTAGCTATGAAATTTGATAAAACTTCCTGAACACCCCTAAACCCTAAATCTGCTTAAGATCAGTGTCCAATATTCACTGGACATCAAGACATTTCCTTTGCAAATGTAAGGGGTATGAAAGTTAAATAACCACAAGCTTATGGTTCAGGAAAACGTGAATAGCTCAAGATACCCCACCCGTACTGTGGAGTAAATATTTATTAACATTAGCACTTTGTTTCAGCATGAAGATACACACCTACAACCAAACTTTGCAGTTAAACTGACACAGTTAAAGAAGAGGCGCCAGCTTTGATTAGTTAGTGCCTTTTATCCCACTGTTAGACTTAGTCCTTTTTTATGGACTACCTGTTAAACTACATGGAAGGACCAGCTTCCAGACACTAAAGCTGTTTCCAGTACTTCTAACCACGTATAGCATTAAATGTATAGCATTACATTTCACTAGTACAGAGCTACACGCTTAAACACATTCTCACCTCTCAAAAAAGTGTTTGTTACAGAGCTGTTCTTATCACAGCATTTGTCTATATATGGTATTTAGAGCCATTACAGTTTTACAACATCCTGTGGATAACCCACCCATCAGCCTGGGCAGAGTACACTTTGCCAAAACAAAGTACTCTCAGAATGGGACTACTGTTGGAAATTGAATCTTACAATCCAGCAGGAGAATTAGTACTTACACTGATATAAGGTTTCCAAATATGTTATGCAGCTACTGAATGCAAAGGAAAGCAAGCAATGAAAGCAAGTGCCTCCGTGAAACCCATGGCATTAAAGGTATACACAGAGGCAAAAATCCTTACGTACACCTATTTAAGTCAAGCACTTACCTTTGTTCCATTGGGTTTATCAATTACAAACACTTCACTCCAAATCTGAATGCCAGTGGTTTCCCGTTCACATCCACCTCTCCATGTAAACCCAGTCAATGGCTCAGTGTTTCCACCTATCCAGCAAGGAGAAGTCTGTAACACAAGAGGAGAAACTTACTTAAAATCAAAGAGATTTTTATTTTTTTTAAACATACTATGTTTTAGCGGACTTACACATTGTTCTCCCATTTTCCTCAGAGCCGACTGACCACACTACACAAAATATTAAAACACAGTGATACTCTACCATGTTTCAAGATCACCCATGAAGAAATGTCGTTTGAGTCTACCGCATTTCAGCAGTTGCACAACTCTTCATTCATCGAAGAGTATATGTGCACAACTCTCAAGTCTCAAGCACTCTGAGGTAATGAGAACACCTCAGTTTTGTCCATTAATTCCACTTCACACTCATGCTTTTCTCTCACATTTGAGAGAACTCAACTCAAACACCCTTGGAAGTAGCCTGTATTTTAACTATAGAAACAGATAAACCCCTTCAAGGAACAAAAAAACCTGATCTTGACTTAATCCTCTCCCTTCCCCCTCACAAACAGGTTAGCTGCTCAAACTAGCTAAGCATCTAAGCCCCTGCACTAACAGAGCCCAGCACAACTCCCAAGGCTAGCTTGCAGAAGCCAAGGAGACTAGGCAAGGACCAGAAGATACTTGTCAGTTATCAAATACTTTTTCCCTAAGTGATTAGGATTCAAGAGAAAAGGTCACATCACAAGTTTGACACAAGTCAATCAACACATCCATATTGAAGTTTTATTGGCACGTTGCTCACTTTGGAAAAGACTATCAGAGTCAAGCACGGTTTGCAGCCAACATTTCTGACTGACAGTACTGTAACAAGCAAGGTCTTTGGTCTTCAAGGCCAGGCAACACACTGAACAGTTGCTAACACCGAAGAATCCAGCCGTTATATGAGCACATTTAACCCAGAAACACAGTTTATGTACTGGGCAAGTAAGGAGCATGAACAGGCACCCTGAGGAAGTTTCACTGTGAGAGGTTTATATACACTGAAATCCCACAAGATAGAAGTGGTAGGCAGAGAGTAGTTCAACTGATGAGGGAGCTTAGAAAAAACCCTTTATTTCACAGGCTAGAATACAGTATGCTGGCAGACCAGAAAGACATTTAATGACTTGCCTCTGACTACCTAGAGAAGATTACCAGCCAGGAAAGTGTGCTCTTTGAGAAGGTCAAAGGGGAGACTTCTCAATTCACTAGGCTATGGTCTCTACCTTGCTGACTCTCCACTGGCAGTTTTCAGAAAAGAACTTAAGACACATCTCAGAAAACAGCACGAGCACCCAGGGACTGTACAGAATAGAAACACTTATTTGTAGTAAGTGAAACTGCTTATTTCTAAAGGGGGATGGGAAAAAACCTGCATGTATTCCTCCTGCCTAGCAGCATGCAGAAAAAGCTATACTAAGAGGGGAAGGCAATCAAGCAGTTCTGCACCAGCATTCTCCCAGATACTAAGTGCACACCATTCAGCTCTGCTGTTTGGATCAGACATGGAAAAATAAATGAGATGAGCAGATAAAAATTCAGAAAATTAACACAAGTATCCAAGAGAATCACAGCTCCTTAGAAGTTGTTTGGTGGGGTTTTTTGTTTGTTTTGTCGTGCACAAACACCTCTACCAGAGAGATTAAGCAAAACCTGAACAGCTTTCCCCTAGAGTATTTTTATCCCAGAAGATGCTTATGCATCCACTGACCACTCTGAAAAATCAAAGTTCCAGGCATGCTTTGGGCTTCAGTACACTCCAGGATAGTTTTGCAATGCTGAATCATATGTCACAGGTATATGTGAATGAACCTTAGCTTTTCACCTTTGAAAAAGAATCTGTTACATTATTCAACAATATGTTCTATTTATCATTTATGCATGCAAACCTCAAAGTTCAACAAGGGGCCAAGTGCAAGGTCCTGCACATGGGTCAGGGCAATCTCAAACACAAATGCAGGCTGGGCAAGCAGTAGATTGAGAACAGCCCCGAGGAAGAGAATTTGCAGGTATTGGTGGATGAAAAACTGAACGTGAGCCAGCAACATGTGCTCACAGCCCAGAAAGCAAATTGCATGCTGGGCTACATCAAAAGAAACATGGCCAGCAGGTCAAGGGAGGGGATTCTCCCCCTCTGCTCCGCTCTGGGGAGACCCCCCTGCAGTGCTGGGGCCAGCTCGGGGGCCCCCAACAGCAGAAGGACCCGGAGCTGCTCGAGCGGGGCCAGAGGAGGCCACGGAGATGCTGGGGGGGCTGGAGCAGCTCCCCTGGGGGGCCGGGCTGAGAGAGTTGGGGGGGTTCAGCCTGGAGAAGAGAAGGCTCCGGGGAGCCCTTCGAGCGGCCTCCCAGGGCTTAAAGGGGGGGCAGGAGAGGTGGGGGGGGGACTCTGGGTCAGGGGGTGTGGGGGTGGGATGAGGGGTGATGGGTTTAAGCTGAAAGAGGGTGGATTTGGGTGAGATCTAAGGCAGAAATTGTTCCCTGTGCGGGGGGTGAGGCGCTGGCCCAGGGTGCCCAGAGCAGCTGTGGGTGCCCCCTCCCTGGAAGGGTTCCAGGCCAGGTTGGACGGGGCTGGGAGCCCCCTGGGCTGGGGGAAGGGGGCCCCGCCCGGGGCAGGGGGGGGCACTGGATGAGCTTTAGGGTCCCTTCCAACCCAAACCATGCTATGATACAAGAACACTCTTTCCCAGTTTGGCCCAGAAGTTATCCTTATTTGTAGCACTTCAGGCCAAATATGCACAAATCTTTTGACAAGTCCCTCAATGAGCACTATATATGACCACATTTGATTTCACGTGGTTCATGTCAAAGGAGACTTTGGTCTCTTAACAGGCACAACTTCAGCTGAAGCTGCTTCATCTGGTGGATGATGTACTTAAGCCTGTCTCTGACTGACCTTTGCATCACTCTGAAGCACCACGAGCTTGTTACCTTCATCTTTGCTCAGTTAAAACTCAGTATTTTAAGTCTCCATCCATCAAGGTGACTTGAAAGATATTCACCAGATGGGAAGAAGAAAAAAAAAAAAAGACTCTGTTCCTACATGAAATCAAGCTAGAAGTTGCACTACAATTTTGTATCAGTCACCTAAAAAGATAACCTCTCTATATTCCACACTAAGGAAGGGACCAATGCAGCTTTATTTGCATAGTGTCATTAACACACGGTGCACTCTGCATATTAATACAAGCTAAGAAGGTCATACGCCTGTAAAAAAAGCTTTTAAATCTAAATTTATCAGTATTATTGCACCCAACCCTTAATAAGGCTTAAACTGCAACAAAGATCACAGGATCCTTGCAGCTGCATGCTGAGTACACAACTGCTGCTGTTTTGTGGCAGATTATTCTGTTCTATTTCAAATGAGCGATCATAACACTAAGTGCTTGAAGTGAAATGCCCACCTCCCTGAAGTTAGTGACCAGTCTCAGCCATGCCAAAATCCTACCTGTGACTTCAACTGGCACAAGTGATATTTTTTTTAAATGGTAACTTTTCACATGACCTCCCCGCTCTTGGTTTAAGACAAGAAAACGGGATTCTGAAGTACCTTGTCAAGTCTTTCATCACACATGTTAATATCCACAGGGAAGAATATCCCAAAATTTTGTTATTAGTGTACAAACTGAATGCAGATACTTTAGTATTTTGTGCAGGATCCAATATTTAGTTCACAGAAAATAGACTTGCAATTAAGCCTGACTGAGGATGGAGCAATTAGACTAAAGGTTACTATAAAACTCTAACAAGGCCTCCCCTCCTGTACTGAAATTTGTACAAGCATAGAGGATACCCTTTGATTTGATACAATTCAGCAGTACTCAGGAAGAGGCATTGCACTTATCTCCTCTCACCCCCAACTCCCATCAATCAGTTTGCAGCATCTCTGATGCTTGTCAAGCTCTTTCCCTAAGCCAGTTTACATCACTGAGCTCGCAGGAAAACCATTTGGCAAAGTACAATGTCTTCTGATGCATCGTTGAGTTGGATCAGCTCAGCTAAGGGCCTGCATTACAGCTTCAGAATGCAAACGCCCATCCAGAAGCAGCACACGGAGAGCAAGACCTCTCTGCTTTTGGTCTGCTAGTTGTTACAGGAGACAGCCAAGTCTGCCTTCATCTTAAAGTGAAACAAACGGTATTTTGAAGAACACCTATAGAAAACTGAAAAAAGTAATTGCACAATAAAGGGACCAGAGAGGCATGATATTATACAAGGCTGAAACAATGTTTCAGTAAGCTTTGTTCTATGAACTTTTGTTTTATTTCACAATCTGAAAGTCAGAGTATTTGTTCAAAGCCTACCCCTTCTGTTCTTGGAAGGGACTAGCACTACCTCTACCCAGTCACCATCTAGCTCAGCTTGCTATACTTCTGGAGAGTTTGGGGTTTTTGTTTGTTTGCACTGGGTGTGGGGGTGTTTGTTTTTAATATAAACAGGACACTAGATAGGGTTCATATACACACACACGAGGCCACCCAATGAACAGCTGTATCAGTGAAACGTTTATTCTTCCCTACGTTAAAAGGGTCTTAAGAAGTCGGGAACACCAGCTTGCTACTCTGTATTCCTTCTACCATATCCTCTGTGTTTATTACAGACCTCTTGGCAAATCAGCAAGTGGAATTCAATAGCAGGCACTACTGGGAGTGAGAGAAAGGAAGTCTTCATCTGCCAACTACCAGCAGCTTCTTTGCAATATTCCCATATTTCCTGTAACTGCATGGTTCATCTTGGTTTCTCCTCAAGCCAGCTAACACAAAGGTAAAATAGAAGCAGTCATGGTTAGTTTCTGCTATTGTGAATTCTAACTCTGAAGAACAGTGACTGAAAAAGGAATCAGTTCTGGGTTTTTTAAGAGCTTCAAAAAGCAACAAAATTGTCAATATTTATTACGCAGATTAAAAGAAACACACCACAGTGTGACAGGCAGATGTGTATGTTCACAGAAGGCCCTATCCCACCTTCACCTTATCAGCCAAGAGTTCAAAGTATAGTAGAACACAACACAACACTAGCCAAAAGCTACAAACTAAAAGAAGAAATTGATTTTTGGATCAGACATTCATTAACCAATTACCTGAATTTAAAGAGTTCCTGGATTATGTTCAGAGACACATTCCAAGCATCAAACAGACTTGATCCTTTCTGCCATACCTCAGATCTAAGCAGATTTAGCTCTCCAATAGCTATGTGGCAAGATTCTTTTTTACAAGAACAAGTAAGCTAGTGTTACAGTATGATTTCAGATCAAGTCAAAGCAAGATCCTTCCAAACCACCACTTGGCTGAGCCCTTCTCCACAGCTCAACTAGAAGGCCACCACACTCCCTCAATTCAAGCTCTTCTCAAGCCCACTTACATCAGGACACCAGTAAATTCCTTTGATAACTGCAGGAAAATTTATATTGGAAAAACTGTCACTCAAATACACTTCAGAGTAGAAACTGGCTTCCCCACCTCCCCAGTAAGAAAGAAAAATTTCATCTGCTATATTTGTGTTCAAGTCAACAAATACAAAGGCAAATGACTAAAATACAAACTACCTCTGCAAGGAAAATCCAAATTACTCACCCTGTTATACATGTATCTAAGCATGAAGTCCAGCAGAAAAGATTTTCCTTTGCGGAAAGCTCCTGCTACAGACACAACTACTATGTTAAGATCTTTGATGTGTTCCTGAAGCAAGATTTTTTCCAATGCTGCTTCATCTAATTCAAAGTTATGGTCGTCTTCATGAGCAAGAACAATCTGTATGGGGCGCGGCTTATCCAAATCCACCTCATCATCCGAGTCTGGAAGGGCATCTGAGTCAGGTAGGGCATCCTCCTCCTCTTCTTCCTCATAATGCTTACCTGTAAATTGACAGGTTACAAATACATTAGCAAGTCAGAGGGTTAAGGTACTAGACATTTATTTGAAGTGAAGCCTTGAGGTGGGCTTTCATTCCCAGCAGCAAGAGTGATGTTCTTGGGAATGCACACGTGCAGACAATGAGATCAACAGCAGTTCTCTTATCAGCAGCTTTGCCTATAGTCTACTTTTCAGATCATCCTCCTCTGTGTTTCAAGAAATCACAAAAGAAAACTGGTTTTCAGCATAGAAGCCCCTTTTAAAGGCTTCTTAAGTATGATTTCCATTAAAAATCAGGGGCCTTTTATTTTAAACTAATTACTTTTTCCAGATAATCTCCAAAGAGGACCAAAAAAAGGCCATTTTTACATCACCACCTTCTTATACTATTGTAAGGGAAAAAAATAAAATCAGTGTTTTCTGTCAGTTTTCCTTGCCAACATGTACAAGACAGACCACTGATCTAGTATGTAGGATTACATACATCACTAAATTACTAAATTCCTCTAATTCCAACACATTACACCTGTTTCAATTCTCAATACAGCAGATCTCAGAGTGCCTATTCACTGCTTGAAAGAGGATAAACTCCACGTCCAAGCTCTAACAGTTCTGAGATAAGAAAAATGAAAAACACTGTAGTCGTCTCTGGCTTCATACTTTTCCTGTGACACATTATTAAGCAAGACTTAACAACAGTAACTACCAACTCTTATCAAAAAGAGTTAAGATAATATTCTGTACACAGTTAAAGAATTAATACACTTTCCAGATCACCCAATAGCTGGAAGAACTGTAACTCAGACAAGATTTAAGTTACTAATGAATGATAAATTAAGGTTACACAGCCCTTCAGACATATAGCGCAATGGTACCAATATCCTATCTTCCTGACCTCCAGAATTCAGGAGTTACTGGGTTAGAGGCCTAAAAGAAAACCAAACCAACCTGTCCAAGACGAAGTCTCCTCTCTTGTTCAAGTATCACAATATTGAAGTTTGTCCCACAGTGTAAACAAACTCTACCACTGGCCCAACTCCACTTTTCCTATCAAGCATCTGGAAGTGGTTTTATGCTTACAGAATTACCTCTAACTCCAGATTTACATTTTGCCATATTCTATCAGAACCTCATGTGCACAAACCTAATTGAGGCACCTTCCTAGCAGGTACTTATATGGGAACATCACTGTATTAATTATGCTGGACTTGTAGTCATGCTTGCATTTCCAAGCATTGCTTTAACAAAGGCAAAGCAGCAGCCATCTCTGGTTACTGGATGCATTGCATGCAGGTATGTTACATGGCCCCTGTGCTTCCTGGGGAAGCAGTCCAGAAGCAGTGTTCTGCTGCGGGATGTGTCATGAGGCACCACGGAACACACCACAGTTTAATTCGTCCATGGCAGAGACCCTGCCAATACCCACAGGACCTGCCAAGTCACTCCTGCCAGACTTTGCATCCTAGATACCATCCTCAGCAAAAGACTTACAAACAGTGCTCCAACTGTTTTGTGGATGTAACCAGACATTTGAGTTATTAGCATGAACTTGAAAAACTTGTAACATAGTGACTCTGGAGTTTTTCCAGTGGCTGTCTCTTTAGCAGGTTCTGACATTTCAATTCCTTGCAAATCAGAGAGGATGTTTCCATTTCCAAGCATCGAATCTGTACTGACCTAAAGGCCAGTAGCACTAAATATTTAAAAAAAAAAAAAAAAAATGTTTGAATATATTAAGCTAGCGTAGTACTTGGTTTGAACAGGAACATTTAAGCTTAACTTGTTAAGCTTGAATGTTTAAATCATAAGCAGCTAGAACTAAAACTCCAACATTATCCCAGTGGGTATGCAAAAGAGCCTCTAGCATCTCTCAAATTGGTTGAGAAAGCAGGCCAAAAAATTCAATTGCACCAGCAGGCTTGACAAATAAAAGCTGTCAACAGGACACCAAACTATACAAACTACATTGACACAACAGTGGTCACCACTTCAGAAGAAAAAATTCTCACCTTTGGCCTAAAGCTTTTATACTCCCAGAAATTAAACAAGCCCTCTTTCAAAAGAGTTTACAAAACAGGCTTTGCCCCATATAGGTAGCATCCTTTGTAGGCCAGAAAGCTTGGGGGGATAGCCCAGGTGAGGTACGAAGATTTTGACAGCCAGAAAAGCAAGCCTTCATCATCACAGCCTAGAAACATAAAGGGAATAATTCTATTGATAAAAGCATTATTAGATAGCTCCAAGAAGAGACACCTGTGTTTTAGCAAACAGATATTCACACAATGTATCAAAGCCTCTGCTTCTATGTATTCCCAAGGCAACAAGCTTAACTTGATTACTTAAAACAGCCTTATATTCTTTTATTTAAATGTATACTTCACTTTAGCTGCAGTAAGGTATCAGTTTTATAAATTAAGGCAGACTGTAAAATAGTCTGAAGCAAGATCTGCAACTTCTCTTCATTCACTTGGAGCCTCATGTTAACCATCTTTTCCTACCTGGAAATCATCAGAACCTTAGCAGACCTCAAATAAGTCGTAGCAGCATCCTTCCACCAGTGCAGAGCATAACCAGCCAAAGTCTCTTCAAGCCAAGAAGCTTTCCAAGCAAGTAGAATGGTCTTTCATCATTAGTTATTTCTAAGCAAGCAGATTCTCCCTATCACAAGTGCATAGTACTGTCAAGAGCTTACACACAATATGCCCATTAAAAGCCCACATCTTGTTAATAGCATTCTGCACTCCTGAAGCTCACTTAGCTCTGACAGGAGAAAAGATTCATCTCCGGCCCTATTCGGTTTTACTTACCAGCAGAAATTGGAAAATCAAGTCCAGACCACTAAGTTGGGTTTTTTGTTTGTTTTGGGTCAAGTTGGTTTGTTGGATTTTGGTGGAGTTTCTTTTAGGGGGTTGGAGGGCTTTGTGGGGTTCTTTGATTTTTTTTTTTTTTGTGTGCGTGTGTTTGGGATTTTTTTTTTTAGCTGGCCAGCCTAATATATCTGACAGCTCCCAAGCTACCTACAGGAAGAACCAACTTCGCCATGAATCAAGCACTTTAGAGGGTGGACAACTACAGTGTTGACAGCTGTGAAGGAAATTTGATCCATCCAGAAGAGCTGGTTTGATAACTTCATGCTCAAGTTGCAGAGAACACCTTCCCTTCAAGATATATTAAACTAATTAGTAGTTACCAGGACAGATATTGCACAAATGAAGTATGTTAACTGTAGAACAAGTACTACTGCTTGTCCCTGCAGCATAAACTAACCTGCTCCTAGGCAGATGTCACAACCTTTTTGGTCCTCTATACTACCTTCTGACTGCTTACCCTGTTACTCTGTCACTGTCTCAGGCAGCACTGGAGTACTTTGGAAGCCTTTCTAGAACGCTTTGGCATCCTGGGCAGAAGGATCACATTCTACTTCCAAGAACTACCTTCAGAGGAGTCTCTCAAAACAATGGTCAGGACAAGAATTCCTACTTCACAGTCCAGTTTTCTGCAAAAAAATGCAGCAGCATTGTAGTAAGTTCTGTAAGTGGTTCAAAAAATAAGCATGCTGATAGCACTGTCAAGTCAAGTCAGGCCAGGAGTTATTGAAATTCAAAACATGAAACCCTCATCCTTACTTTCTCCCCCCACTTTCCCTCACCCATCCCAGGATGGTCACAGTATACCTGAAACTCAGAATTTACGTGGATTTGTCCTAAAGCCCAGTCTAAGGACCACAAACTGCTCTAGGTTCTTGGAGTAGTTCAATCCCAGCAAATCAAGTATAGAAACAGATGAGGACTAACACTAGAAGGGGTGACATTCAAAGAGTGACCACCCCTCCACTGAAGTACTTCTTGCCAACTGGATGGTAATTTGGACTTGCAGAGCTCATGGCAGCCTCCTTATGTGGGTCTCCATGACAATACATTCAGTACTGTTACAGAGGCAACCAAAGCAAGACTTCTGTTTGGGGCTTTTTTGTTGTTTGGTTGGTTTGGTTGTTTTTATAGTGTCTCTTAACACTTTAAGAAGTCCAGTTCCATCCCAATAATGGGGGTAAGGACCCAGCATAATCCACCCTATACATTCACACTCAGAGTGGTGTTGTTTCAGATGCATAACTGATAGCTCCTCACACTGCATGCAGAACAGCCAGGCAATGCTGCCTCCTGCCAGAATAAAGACAGTCTGGTAGATTCATCCAACTCACTCACAGGGTTGGTTCCCAATGCTGTTGGAAACCCTCAAGTGCACAGAAGACTGGACCTCAGGCTTTTAGTACATACAGAAAGCACTCATCTGTCAAAGTACATGGCAGGAGAGCTTGCAGCACAGTGTTGCTGGCCCAGAAAGCTATAGCTACATTTTTCTTTTTTCTAAGATGTTCATCTGATCTTTGAAGCTTCTGTACTACTGAACTAACACACTCCAGACTACAGTCATACCTACCACTCTGGCTAGAACTGATGCAAAAAGATCATCAACTGGACTTGGCCCGAAGTCTGCCATGCATTCAGGCCTATTACTATGGCTGTTTGCTAATCACCCCCTACTTCATTTTGGCTTCTTCCAACCTGAATCATTCAATTAGAGCACGTGAGTTCTGATTGTGCATAATCACCTCCTAATCCAAGCCAAACAGGGTAGGAGATAAAAAGAGAAGCAATACTGTACAGCAAAACACAGAAGCAGACAGACTTGAATGGAAGCAAATATAGCCAAGAGAAGATACTACCACCCAGTTTCCCTATAAACTCTTCACTCAGCAACAACTACAGAAGGACTACTATTGACACTACTGACAGCTACATATCTAGAACAAGCACCATTTGTTGAAATGCTAAGCTACATTTTGAGAACAGTAGCTTCTTGTGTACGTACAGACAATATTTCAACTGAACTGAACTAAACAACCCATTTCTAAACGTATGAGGTGAAAAGAAAAGCTAATTCCAGCTTTCCCTAAGTACACAGCTAGCAGTTAATGACCTATTTGTCCTGCAGTGTAATA